GTGGGGCCGGAGAAGAGGCAGGACCAGTCTTTGCTTCTCTACTGCTTACAGATTTTGCTCTATCACTTTACCTGCTGCACCTCTCCCCCCACCCCCCCAAAAAATTCCTCCCTAGAATTGTGACTTCCAGAATCCCATGTTTTCAGTCTGATCATCATCCACATGTTCTTGAAGCCATACTTGACTATCCCCTGGTCATTCCCCTTTCCCACATAGGCACTTTCCCTAAATCATTACCTTCATGGTGAAATCAATATAAACAYCAGTGATTCTTCCCCAAATCTGGCCCCTCCTTTCCTTCATCCGCTCTCATTATTGATCTTGAACTCCACCTTGCCTGACCCACTCATTCTTTCTGTCATATCCTGAACCCTCTCATTGCCATTATCTGCCATTGGTAATGTCAGTTTTAGGTATCTCACCTTCTGTCAGCCTTTGTCCTTGCTCATTCCTTCTGGCACCCAACTTTTGGGTGTGCCAAGTTTCCATCCTGCTAATTTTCGATTGTGCTAAATTTCCATTGCTCCTGACCCACCACCTTGTTCCTTGTTTTTCTCTTTATTCAGCTTTTGTCCATGGCCCACTGTTGTAGTCATTCTCTTGAAGATACTGCCTTGTCCCTCTTTTCCTTTGTCTTAGTTTCCTTTTAACAATCCAATTCTTCATTCTGTGGTGAAACCAGCAAAGGCTGCAGAGCCTGTGGCTCCACTCTCTAGAGTCACTGAACTCATGACTTCCCAACTGCAGGGGCACCCTGGAACTGCCCGGTGAAGTTGCTGCCAGTGGCTGAACAATCCACATATCCACTTTCCTCAGGAATGATTTCACGTCTTCACTTCTCTCCTTAAATCCCCAACTCTTCTTCTCATCTTCTTCTTTACTGATGACCCTGCTTCCTGTTTCAAGGAGGAAAGAGGTTCAGAGACTCTTCCTCCATAAGCCCTCCCAGCACCACGGGTGGGCCTGGCTCACCTGTGACCAAGTGGGTGCAGCCCACACTCCCACCCAAAGCAAGCCCCTCACTTGGTTCTAGATGCTCAGTCTCAGCCACTGTGCAAGCTGCTTATTCCCTGTGTCCCCCCTCTATTCCTTCTACTAGGTCATTCCCATCAGCATAAAACTCTCATGGGATGCCTCTCTACATAAGGAAGCCTCCTCCCTGGCCCCGGCTGTCAATGCTCTGATTTTCATTGTTCTTACAGCCAGGCTCCTCACTGTGTTCACTGTCCCCTCCACTTGTAATCTTTTCCCAATAGAATCTTATTTCCACCACCTGTTGAAACCACCTTTATCAATGTCAACCAGACAGCGTTTAGTGTCTCCCATTGCCATTCCAATGACCTGACTTCTGCCTTCTGAAATTCCAGCATCAAGTCTCAGCCCCCATCTTCCTCCCCTAACAGCAGCATTTGGGAACCTATCAATTGTGTGTTCGGATGTGTTCCTCACAGTCCTTATCTGTAATTATGAAATTCAAGCTGCTCAGGAAACTGAAATGGTTTTCGTAACTCATGACAGCAAAACCAGATCTGAACACTGTAGATTCTTTATTTAACCTACTCAGTGGCGATGCTGATACATAAGGACATAGAAAACTGCTGTAATTGATAGCAAAGTCAAGCCTCAGACCCTCCTTGGAGGTGTTACATAATATACAGTTTATGCAGCAGAGCACATCCAGCCCCAAATCTAGAAAAACAGTTATGGACCTGGAGTAGAAATCTAAGATTRCATTCAGGAAGATAAATTTATTTGTAACTAGGCATGTTTTGATCATATATTAGTTTACAAAACAATGTTATTTTATGGGAATGAAAATAAACATTGGCCTTATGATTATTTATATCAAATAACATCTTTAAGATAYTATATATCTTAATTTTGCATGAAACATGTAATTTCTAGTTATTGTATATAATTTAGRTAGATAATAATAAATAAACTTGTCAGAATCTTCATAAAACACCTGCTTCAAACAGTAATACTTGGAGAATTATTATTTATTCCTAAAGGGGAAAATCTCTATAGAACTATAATTGTATTTTTGCATAAAAACAAAGTAATTTTGTTAAGCATAAGATATTATTCAAGGGAGAGAATTGAATTACAGCAGATGGGGTAGAGAGAGAAGATGGGAGGGGAGGGAAGGGGGATAGGAAAGGTAGCAGAATACAACAGTCACTAATATGGCATTATGTAAAAAACGTGGATGTGTAACCGATGTGATTCTGCAATCTGTATTTGGGGTAAAAATGGGAGTTCATAACCCACTTGAATCAAATGTATGAAAGATGATATGTCAAGAGCTTTGTAATGTTTTGAACAGCCAATAAAAATAAATAAATAAATAAAATAGCCTACTTTAAAAAAAAAGATATTATTAAATAAAATATTTTGTTGTCATTTAARTTTACAGTATAAAATGCAAAATCATAAATGAGAACTTCAGTTGCTCTATTCAGCAGGCATATTAATCTAGCTACTTTCCATTGTGCTACAAATTTTAGCCCTTTTAAATTGTCAAATTGTCTATATAATAGGAAATACTATAATCTACATTACAGATAAAGAAAGCAAGAAAAGAAAGGGTAAATAAATTGCCGAATGTTAATCATGTTGAAAATAGATTTGGTTCATTTGTCAAAATAATATGTATATTCATTGTCCTAATCCAACGCAAATGGGGCCACAGTGACCCACAAATACTGTTATTTTAAAATAATTTGATTTAAAATAATTTCAGATGTAAATTACAATTTGCATGTCAGATCTATCAACTGTGAAATCAAAACTAAAATTGTGTGATTTTTTTGTATTACTTCTCAGTGAATAAAACTAGTCACGGTAGACTTTCAAATCATTACATTCTTTCTCAGTTAAAAGATATATAGAAATGATGCAGATACAAATGCCATGACAATAAACTGGGACTAAAGAAACTTTTTCCATCAATTGGCAAATGTACAGTTATGTTTTAACCAAACTACTATTGAGTAAAACTAATTTTCTTTAATTATTTAAAGTTACATGGGTAGTAATTAAGATATTTTAAAAATTATTTTAAAAGGGGTACATTTTTATATCTCAGCAATAATCCTTTATTTGTTGGGGAACCTAATTGGAATAGAAGACAGATATGAAACAAATATTCATGTGTGTGCTTTCATATATTTTTCTCCTCAATTTGATACATTGAAAAATTTCTAACCATAGAAAATTTAAGAGTAGTGATTATTAATATTCACACACATTCCACTCACATTCATTAGTATTTTGTAATCTTTGTTTGCTGAGCCATATAAAAATAAGTTGTAGATATTATCACTTATCAATTCCCTAAGTCTTTGGAATGCATTTCCTAAGAATGAGGATATATTCTTGTATAGCTATAATATAATGACTATATCAAAACATTTAACATAATGCCACAAAGTTTTTTATATTAATAATAATTTTATATCATTTTCAAATTTTCCCAGTAAGATCTTTTATGGGCTTTTGTTTGTATATTTATTTATTACTTTTTTAGCTAGTGTCCAATAAAGATTGTGTGTAGAATTTAATTGTCAAGTCTCTTTAGTCTTCTGAAATCTAGAACAGTCCTCTGGCTTTGTTTTCCTTCGTGATATTGGGATTTTTAAGACTTCCTACATGTTAGTTATTTTGAAAAAATGTTCCCATATCTTTATTTCTTGAATGATTTCTTGATTAAACATTTTTGGAAACAATTCTTTATAGGTTATATTATGTATTTCCTCTTGGTATCATATTAGGAGGTATATAATGTCACCTTGCTCCATAATTGGTGACACTCAGTTTGATTGGTTGGTTAAAGTGATGTCCACCAGATTTGTTCAGTGTTAAGGTATCATTTTCCCTTTTTGGTTAAGAAATCAGAGTTAGAGCTCATTGGTAGGGCACTTTCCTAGCATTCACAAGGCCCTGAGATCAATCCCAAGTATGACAAATGTTAAAGAGCTTTGGCATCCCTATGACCAAAAGACCTGACAAGAACAACTTAAAGGAGGGAAAACCTAATGTGTCTCATGGTTTCAGAGGTTCAGTCCATTGTTAGCTGACTCCAAAGTTCTTGGCCCTAGGTAAAGTAGAACATCAAGGTGGAAGTGGGTGGTGGAGAAAGAAAGCTCAGGACAGGAGGGAAGGAAGGAAGTTTTTCAAACAGGAAATGATGAACAAGAGAATCTTGAAACATCAGGAAGGAAGAATAAATAGGAGAAATATGAGTATATACAAGGGATATATATATAGTGGTTTTTGAAACAGAAATTATAATGCTACTGGACACTCAAAACAATAATATTTAAAAGGAAGGAAGGTAAAGGAATTGAAGCAGAAGTAAGRTGTCCACACTTCACTCAAAGTGGTAAATGTTGATACTTGTACAACAGTCTCCTGACTTTGAGGACACACATGTATATATTAATAGAAAGAACAGTCAACTAAGAAATTATGCAAAGAGGTGGACTTGAAAGCACTATAAATATTGCAAGATGATTGGAGGAGAGGGTAGTGTTTTCAAATAAATGGTGCTGGGACAACTGTATACACACACTCAAAAGAAATTAAAGCAGTTATTTTTAATTTTTGAATCTTAGTGTAGTAGGTTAAAATACTTATCCCATGGCTCGTATTTTGCTTGACAATCATGTGYTTTATAAATCAGCAAATAATTACCTGGATTTTCTATTTCTTTTAAAATATCAGAAAATCTATTAATTCTCACATGGCAACAGTTGGTAGGTGCAGAAGATAGGGCCTCCTCTTTTAAGTGAGTGTTGGAGTTTTCAGGTTTCCCACACTCACTTGGGAATTTGTTAGTGAATACCACAGGTTGTCTCAGAGAGATTCTATGWCTCTGTTATCCTTGGGGAAAATATTAGTTGATCTGTCCATCAATTTGCATAACAGAATACGTGAATGAAAAAATTTGTAAATTCTCTTTACTCACCATAACTAACTAATGGTAAATATTTCTTCAGCTTGAAGATGGAGCCCAAGACTAAAGGATTAAAACAGCAGCAACAGCAGCATAAGAAACTTCTGGCAGCCATGTTTTCTCAGGTTTCCTTTGAGTCCATCCACAGCCCTACCCCATCTGTAACAGAAGAAGACATTGACAASGAAGATGATGCAATGGAGTTGCTGGGTAACTTTAAAAATTAATAATTTATCTCTTTCTTTTTTCCTCTTGTATTGTAAAGTATGCAGTGTTTAAGAGGTTTTTTAAAAGTTTTGAATCATTTTGCCTTAGGCAAAAGAGAACATTTAAACATATTCTTTAGATTAGACTTTCATGAAGTTAAATGTAARAACCAAATTGAAATCAGCTAAGCATGTGAAATATTTATTAGACTGTATTTTGTGCTTTGTGTATGCAGCACTTTACCTTCTGGTACTTAATCAAGCTTTATTGTGTGTGCAAGTGTGATAAAAATTTAAGTCTGTCTGCTTTATTCTCTGATTATGATTTCCTTGATCACACCTATTATCTTTAATATATATACAAAGTTCACATTTCAGCCTTCATCTCAAGATGTCCCTCTGTTATTTTAAGGATGCTTTAGAAAAAAATAGAATAAAGTTGAAACAGGCAGTTAGTAAATTAGTGTTTTATGTGTTATATAAATGACAGGAACATTTGCAAAGATTTTTAAGTCTCTTCGGGGTCATTACTTTCATGAAAACTATTAATCTTGTATATATAGAATATCTTTTTATATGTCTTAGTGAAGCATATGTATGTTTTGCTCCTGTATAAATTTCTCTTATTTATTCATTTATTGTGGCACAAGGGATTGAACCCAGGGCCTTRTGCATGCTAGGCAAATGCTGTGCCACTGAAATATACCCCTAACTCCCCCACACATAGGTATTTTTTAAATTGAGCCTCACTTTGGAAAATCATTTTTTCAAAAGAAGAAAATGAAATTTTAGAGAGCTAGCCATCTGTAACACAATGTCTTTTTAATTTAGTGATATCAGTTTGTCCATATAAATATTTAAAACAATTTCTGAATTTTTTGTGACAAGATACTACTATATTTAACTGGAAAGAGAAAAAATAAGGTAATACTTTGAAAGCTTCACATAAGTTTTACATATAAAATATGGAGTCCCAGGGGGAAAAAGAGATGTTCTAAAAATATTTTTTTCTAAATCACATTACTTGATTTAAAGTTTCAATGGTAGTAAAGTACTTTCATTATAATAAATGATGCATGTCTCCATATTTAGACTTCAGAGGTGTTACATAGTCAATAATGGCAGGTTCAAAATGGTTTCTGGTATAATAACTGCATTTGTTCCACCATTAGGGAGACTGTATAGTGACATTTTTACTACATGCAATTAATAATTTTTCTTTTTCTTTTTTGCATTTTTTAAAAGCAATTAAGTCTTTCTCCTCACCTCTAAATCATTAGTGTGGTAGATGTGCCAGATGTARTCACAGTATCTGCATTCAACTTCCATTCAACATTCAGTAAACATTTACTGAGCACTTATGGGCTAGGCTGGGCTTGGTCTTGGGGATATAAAAATAAAATAATAATTGTCTGTTTGCAGGAACTTTGCACTCAAAGCACTCAAATAAAAATGTAAATACATCACTCTGGTGGTGTTTTCTACCTGCAACAATTGGGCTAACCACCCACTTGCATATAAAGGTAACATTTAATGCAGAAGTGAGGGACAGTGATCAGAGAATATGTCTTAGATATGCTGATGCCCCTGGTTAATCCTGAAGGACAAGTAGGAATAAGATTAATGGGTGTAGTGTGGTCATTACTCCTGTAGGTTTGTTCACAGAGGTATGGGCCCCTCTGTGACTGGTCCTCTGTTTTGGTCAGTAACAGTGAAGGGGATGAGACCAAGGGATTCTTGAAGGAGACACAGGTTTCTTCTCAGTGCTGGTATCCCCTACATCTCAGCTGCTCTGTTATGAAGTTTCTAGTTTCCCCAACTAGAGGATTGGTTTTTGGAGAATACCTAATGATAAGCAATTCATACTTGTCCTTTGTTAATTCTTTTCTTTTTTTTTTTCATTTAGACATTTTAGTCTGTGTACTGAGCAAGTTTAATATTTAAGTTTGGACTTTCTCTTTGTAATCCACACATTTCAGCACAGGTTACTGGTGGAAGAATAATGTTGGTTTCTAAGTTATAAAGTTTCCCTGTGATAACATCGAATGTTCTAAGTCCACTGGACTATTCTCCATATAGTACCATGTACATTTTCTTACTTTTGAAACTGATTGTAGAGTAACATGCAAAATACAAATGTTAACTTCTTGAAAATTTATGTGATATCAAATTTTAGGACATGGGACTATTGTAAGATGCAATAGAGACATTTGGTATTTCAAATATCTTTTTGAATCTACAATGTGTTGCAGAATGAGTGTGCTAAAACTTATGTGTTTTTAAGGGTTTAACTTGTTATGTATACCAAGATATAACTGGCTGAAAATTTTATTTATCATGCGTGGGAAGCACTCTGTAAACCTTATGAGGTAATGCATAAGTCAAAGGTATAATTATTACCTAATATTAATATAAGCAGTGATTATTCCTCAATAAAATTGGTTGATATAAAGGGAAACATTTTTTAGTTGTACTAGTAGATATTAGTAAAACTGGTGATTCTTGTTTCAGCCATGAAAATATCTAGCATTGTTAATATATTATTGATTAATAGTTACTCAGTTGTTTAATTGTATATATGTGGATTTCTTTTTTAACTGTTTTAGGCATATGAAAATATTATATATGGCATCTATAATTTTTAAAATAGAGTAAGTGTTCTCTGTAAGATTGTTTTAAATACTGTCTATAGATTCATAGTACAAAAGTAGATTAATATAATACTAATGCTACCTATCAGGTAATAAAATAGCCAAACTTGTAGAATTTTAATACACAACAATTTTAAGCACCTTGGAAATTTATTCTGTAATTATGAAACATTGAATAATATGTCTGCCATGTAACTTCAAACCATGTCATTCTCAACCACAAATGCAAAACATTCTTAAATATTTCAGTAGTTATGTTGGCAGTTATTAGCCACAATGAGTAAAATATTTTACTAAAAATTTTTCTTAAAAATTATTAAAATCTAGCCAGGCATGGTGGTGCATGCCCATAATCCCAGTGATTCAGGAGTCTGAGGCAGGACAATCACAAGTTCAAAGACATCCTCAGCAACTTAGAAAGACCTTAAGCAACTTAGTGAGACCTTAACTCAAAATTTTTTTAAAAAATAGAAAGGGTTGGGGATGTGGCTCAGTGGTTAAGTGCCTCTGGGTTCAATGCCTGATACCAAATTAAAAAAAAAAAAGATGTATTGAAATCAGTTTTTTTTGAAAATATGGTGACAAGGTGTCATGATAGAAAAAAAGTAATTTATAAAAACTATATTTTATTCCATTCTTTTCAAAGAAAATTTTGAGGGGCTTCATTTGTTTAAAATATTTTTCAGTTTATAAATATGAGCCCATTTTTATTACATTGCATGCATTTATCATCTTATTCTATTTGAAACTCAAATAGCTATTATATGTTTGATTTTTTTCCATGTGATTTATACTGATTTGTATTCATTTTTTAAATCCTCAGAATTATATTTGACAGATATAACTGGCTTTCTTACAGATTTTAGAATGAAATATTACTTGTAAAAATTTTTAAGCTTTCTTAGAATTGATGCTGAGGCATATATCTAAAAGTCACATTCCAGAGATGCTTAAGAATAAAAACATTAGTCATGCTTTATGCTTTCCATCCTTAGCTCATAATTATATAAAATTAAAAATTAAAATTATGCTGCCAACCCAAATAAAGTTATTACAAACAGATATCACTTGTTTTAAAATGAGTAATCATGAACAGTTTATAATTATACTGATTATTTTGCTGAATGTCCTCATTGAATTTCTGTAACCTCAATATCATGCCAAATTTTGTAAAATAAAAACTTAATTTGTTAGAGGGACTCATTACCTTAAGGCATTCTTTTGGCAAATTGTTTTACATCCTGATCAACCTTTTAGAAAAAGAATATTCACTGTTGTTTTTTAAACTGAAGACCCCTTAAAACAAAAAGCTCCCCATCTTTGCAAAATAAGAACACACATTTCATCTAGTGAAAAATGAATGCTTTTTCTCAATGATGTCAAAATACAAAAATGGAGGGGACCCTAAATGTTTTCTTAAAATTACCTACTCTATCTATCTATGTATCTATCTATCTATCTATCTATCTATCCATCCATCTATCATCTATCAATCTATCTATAACTTAAGGTATATAGAACACTGTAAAACACAAAGTACCACACATATGCACTTTTGTCAATTTTTTTTCTTTTGAGTATTGATGAATGGAACTATCAGGATGACAGAAAAGTTGTCACTTTGAAATGAATTAGAAGATTCTTGACAAATGTCTGAAGATTTTGAAAAATTAAATCTGTGTATCCTCCAATATTGTCCATAAGATTGCTTAAAATACTACATGTAAAGTTATTCAATACAATACAAAAATGATTTAATATAGAATTAGTACATAGAGGAGAATAACATACCCCAACATGTGTTGTTTTAAGATATAACAAATTTTTAAGAACCACTGAAGTTAGTGCTCTAAATCTCAGATACTGATAAAATAACTTCCCAATCACCTAAATCTGAGTAGGTCTCATCTTGAAATATATGATATTCTAAAAAWTTCCAGTAATTATTGTGACTGTTGATGACCACAATTAACCAGATTATTGAAAATCTGCACATGTATTTTTTTTACTTTTCACTAAATCAATTTGCATAGTTGAAAAAATAGGACTTTATAAAGATGTCTGAAAATATCTTTCACAGGCTAAATAGTGTTTTTTCCTGGTAAGCCTGTGTTTTACAGTAACAGTCCTGTGAAATGTTCCTCACTACAGAGTTTTCACTTATGTTTCTGAATCCTAACTTTGGCTGTTTTTGGTGCCATCTCTGCCTGCACAAATGCCAAGTGAGTTCAGGTTGAAGTGTGGCCTTTGAGGAGCTGAGCATTGCCCTGTGCTTGCCTTGCCATAATCCAATGATGACATTTGAGAAAATCCATTCAAACACATTCATTCAGCAAGTATCATGCACCTGCTC